CCTTTTTATTAACTGTTATTTCCATTTGTCTTATTTTAATTCAAAACCTACGATTAAATTATATTATTTGGTGTTGGAACAAAGACTTATTCTCTCTCTCTCTCTCTCTCTCTCTCTCTCTCTCTCTCAACACTTAACTCAGCCACTGGACATTGAGTCACCAATATATTGATATCTTGTCATGCCCCTGTAAGAGAACACACCCACACCCGTACGCTCTACACCCACATACCTCCTTCTACACCCACACCCGTACATCCTTCTACACCCCACCATGCCTCCGTCTACACCCCACCCATGCCTCATCCCCATACGCTCTTACCCACACCCACATGCGCTCTACACACATACCTCTTCACACCCAGCACCGTCTCTTACACACCCGTGCACGCTCTTACACCCACACCCTGCCTCCTTCTACCCACCCTGCCTCCGTCTACACCCACACCCGTACGCTCTTACACCCACACACCTGCACTCCTTCTACACCCACACCCGCACTCCTTCACCCACACACCCAGCCTCTATACACCCCACGCATGCCTTCTACCCCACACCCATGCCTCATCACCCACACCCGTACACTCCTACACCCACACCCGTACACTCCTACACCCACACCCGTACACTCTACACCCACACCCCACACCTACACAATAAACATAGTTTACATATGTAATTACAGTAAATTAATGCCTACCACTATTCATTACTACCAGTACACGTCATGAACCAGTACTCGTGAACTACGGTTATTTAGAACCCAATCACACACCAGTACAGGACCTGGAGGTGAAGGTCACCAGTACAGGACCTGGAGGTGAAGGTCACCAGTACAGGACCTGGGTGAAGGTCACCAGTACAGGACCTGGAGGTGAAGGTCACCAGTACAGGTCCTGGAGGTGAAGGTCACCAGTACAGGACCTGGAGGTGAAGGTCACCTGTACAGGACCTGGAGGTGAAGTCACAATACAGGACCTGGAGGTGAAGGTCACCAGTACAGGACCTGGAGGTGAAGGTCACCATACAGGACCTGGAGGTGAAGGTCACCAGTACAAGACCTGGGTGAAGGTCACCAGTACAGGACCTGGAGGTGAAGGTCACCAGTACAGGACCTGAGGTGAAGGTTACCAGTACAAGACCTGGAGGTGAAGGTCACCAGTACAGGACCTGGAGGTGAAGGTCACCAGTACAGGACCTGGAGGTGATCACCAGTACAGGACCTGGAGGTGAAGGTCACCAGTACAGACCTGGAGTTGAAGGTTACCAGTACAAGACCTGGAGGTGAAGGTCACCAGTACAGGACCTGGAGGTGAAGGTCACCAGTACAGGACCTGGAGGTGAAGGTCACCAGTACAGGACCTGGAGGTGAAGGTCACCAGTACAGGACCTGGAGGTGAAGGTCACCAGTACAGGACCTGGAGGTGAAGGTCACCAGTACAGGACCTGGAGGTGAAGGTCACCAGTACAGACCTGGAGGTGAAGGTCACCAGTACAGGACCTGGAGGTAAGGTCACCGGTACAGGACCTGGAGGTGAAGGTCACCAGTACAGGACCTGGAGGTGAAGGTCACCAGTACAGGACCTGGAGGTGAAGGTCACCAGTACAGGACCTAGATGAAGGTCACCAGTACAGGACCTGGAGGTGAAGGTCACCAGTACAAGACCTGGAGGTGAAGGTCACCAGTACAAGACCTGGAGGTGAAGGTCACCAGTACAGGACCTGGAGGTGAAGGTCACCAGTACAGGACCTGGAGATGAAGGTCACCAGTACAGGACCTGGAGGTGAAGGTCACCAGTACAGGACCTGGAGGTGAAGGTCACCAGTACAGGACCTGGAGGTGAAGGTCACCAGTACAGGACCTGGAGGTGAAGGTCACCAGTACAGGACCTGGAGGTGAAGGTCACCAATACAGGACCTGGAGGTGAAGGTCACCAGTACAGCCGTCACACAATATGACTAAAATGGCGTCAGTATCGCTTTATGACTCGCCTATAGGTGATCTCTGTCTATTATTCAATCATAATAATAATAATACAAATATTGGAGAATCCGTCTTATTGTGAGATATTCCTGTCCATATTTTTTGGTCTTTCCGTCAATCCAACTCAGTTTTTATACCAAAATTGATTTATTCTATAAATATTAAAATACTCTTCCGCGTCCACCGTTCCAGCAGTCAAACACAGGAAGACATTATTCCTTTCCCGCCAAACACATCATTTTATTTACTATTTTCGTCACGGGTTATTTTAGCTACACTGGCAACTCAGCTCATGACGTCAGCAGGTGGGAGAGGCGACGATAGGAGGAAGGGAGGGGGCACTGAGAGGTTGGGGGGGGGGTTGGGGATTGGAAAGGGGGAAGGGATTCATGATGGGTTGAGGGGCGCGTGGAGGGGGGCGCTTGGGGAGAGAATAGAGGGGGAGGAGAGAGACAATGGAGGAGAAGGTGGGAGAACAGATGGGGAGAGGAGAAAGAATGGAGTGGGAGGAGAGAGAATGGAGGGATATGGGAGAGAATAGAAAGGGAGGGAAGAGCATAAAGAGGGAGAGGGGAGAGAAAATAGAGGGGGAATGGAGAGAGATTGGATAGGGGAGGGAATTGATGGAGAGGGGAAGAAAAGACGAAGATGTGAGAGAGAGAGAGAGAGAGAGAGAGAGAGAGAGAGAGAGAGAGTTGGTTACCTGTTGGTGCTGGCCACTAGTTCTCTACGCACACCACCACCACGCTCCCAAACATTCCAATAATTTACCCAATGTGAAGACTCGTATTTTTTTTTCCTTCCGCTACCACACAAAGACTTCTAAAACCCAAAACAATATAACTTATTCATACAGATGCAAAACAGTTCTACTTTACCTACTAGTTATGAGATATATATACGCATTATATATTTACCATGCCTAGTCATTGAGATATACGCATTATATATTTAACTATGTATCAATTATCAGAAACGTACGATATTTTTACGTATTAACCCTTTGAAGAGGGAAAGACAAAAATCATCGTCCTTAAAGGGTTAAAACATCGTCCTTAAAGGGTTAAAACATCGTCCTTAAAGGGTTAAACCATCGTCCTTAAAGGGTTAAAACATCGTCCTTAAAGGGTTAAAACATCGTCCTTAAAGGGTTAAAACATCGTCCTTAAAGGGTTAAACCATCGACCTTAAAGGGTTAAACCATCGTCCTTAAAGGGTTAAACCATCGTCCAAAAAGGGTTAAACCATCGTCCTTAAAGGGTTAAACCATAAGAACAATAAATATTAAAACAAATATACGCAATATGATTTATTTTTACGCACTGAAAACTAATATACACATTCCACCTATATTTACTATGAATAATATATACGCTTTAACTATTTACTTATGAAAACAGTCGCGTTTTATCGTTACAGGTAATTTTAAACTATTATCTACGTACTAAGAAAAAAATATACGCATTTATCTATATTTACTGGCAATAATATACGCATTTACCTATATTTACTGGCAATAATATACGCATTCATCTATATTTACTGGCAATATACGCTTTTTACTTAACTAATAAAAATATACGCTTTTTACCTATTCTCCGCGTATCGAGTACAGTACCGGTAACAAGGGGGAAGGGGAAAGGGGGGAGGGGGAGAGGGGGGAAGGGGGGGTCAGGTAAATATCCTTGATCTCCACCATTGTCTTCATCAGTTGTTGATTGTCTGTCTGTCTGTCTGTCTGTCTGTCTGTCTGTATAGTCTCTCTAATCCGACTGTCTGCACCTTTTAGCTAGACCCGTGTTATTCCTATGGCTAGACCTGTGTAATTCCTATGGTCGGACCTGTGTAATTTCTATGGCTGGACCCGTGTAATTCCTATGCCTGGACCTGTGTAATTCCTATGCCTGGACCTGTGTAATTCATATGGCTGGACCCACTTAATTCCTATGGCTGGACCCACTAAATTCCTTTGGCTGGACCTGTGAAACTCCTATGGCTGGACCTGTGAAACTCCTATGGCCGGACCCGTGTTATCCCTATGACTGGACCAGTGTAATTCCTATGGCTGGACCCGTGTAATTTATATGACTGGACCCGAGTAATTCCTATGGCCGGACCAGTGTAATCCCAACGCATTATATTCCCTGACTCTTACAATAAAGAAATATAAAAATAAATAAATACATTATTAAATAAATGTTATGAGCATTAACCCTTGCAGTGCACAGTTAGGGTTAACGCCTTGTGTACTAAAACAGCCACAAACCAAGATTTTAAATTATTACGTAATCATTTTTTACCACAGACTTAGTAACAAAACAAAAAGAGAGATTGAGGTAATTTGTTGAGAAGGTATAACGACGTAAACGCATCATATTATTGTTGTATAGAATGTTAAACCAAATATATAACCCCTTACCTTTGTGTGATACAGTTAAACTTTGGATTTAAGTTAAACAGAAAAAATACAAGAGTACATTATTTTAATCTAAAGAAAATCAGTAAGTGTTGTACAGAAAAATACGTGATCTTTAACTTCTAAAATAAACTTCAAATATGTACAGTATTGTATTAAACATAAACCTGACCTCCACCAACAACAATTTAAGTGTCAGTTGTAATTTTAATTGAACCTAACCTAACCTAACCTAACCTAACCTAACCCAACCCTAAAGCTAACATTACTACCAGTCTCACTTCACCTCAGTACCTGACGTTATCAGGGCGAGGTCTACAGTACTGACGGGTCAAAAGTGTTAATGAGATACATACACTAAAATATATGAAATAAAATATGCTCCCGGACAAAGCAAGGTTCAAGAATCGGAGTATTTTTCTACGGCAGAATTATGAATAATACCGCTATGTTATTAATTTAAGTTCTGTTTATTTCTTTTTTAATTCAAAGTTACTCTTATATTGTATTAGAGAATCTTCACTCCCTCTAACTTTAGATGTACATATTTCAAAACTGCCCTGTGTTGTACATCTGTAAACTGATACAACGTGTACTTACCTTGTACTGAAGTCTGAACCTGTAAAAACATAAACTAGTGTTAGATACAAGCATTTATTAAACCCGTAAAATTAACTCTTAAAAATACAATTATATGAAACTGCCGCCAAGACAAAAAGAAATTATTAAGTAAAGTCTATTATTTCCCCCACCTTATTTCGGCTACCAGTGACTTGGATCCCTAAAAAATTCTGAAAATTTTATAAATTTTTCAAACGTATAAATTACTGAGAAATTTATCATAATGACCAAAATCCCCTAATGAGTGCAGCACAGTATTGCAGCTGACAGGTTGGCAAGTCGTTGAAATATGGTTCTTCATTTGGTACTGTAACTTTCTCCAGAACAACACAATAAAACACTTCAACAGAAAGGGAAGGCGGGGAGGAGGGGATATCATCTTCATAAACTGTCTACAACAATAACATGTACAGGATGTTCTCTGGTGAACAAAGAACAATTTCCCACACAGTCAACATATTATCAACAATTTTCCCACTTTTCTAACCAGAAGAAATAAGGAAAACTCTGCCCTTTAATACACCCGCATCCTTCCTCAAGTAATTCCATTTTAACGGGGAGCAGTCTGCCCCTGCCCCCCCCCCCCATCCTCTAGATCCACTCGTGTACCCTCATATGAATACGATACATGAGTCTGCTTGCCTCAGTGAACGGAATTTTTCGATATTTTTATCTCTGGCATTTTTTTGTGATATAAGTTAAAGAAATCTTAGTTTACATCACAATTCTGTTATTTCGGCAGTCAGTGGGTTAAAACAGGCAATTGTTATTTCTTTCTGGTTTGTTTATACTCGTGATCCAGTAGAAAATATTTATACAGTCGCCATTAAAACTAAAATCATTATCTTTTCTTTCTGTTTCCTGTTTTTACTAATATGCAGATATTATTATTAATTGTGCGTCTTTAACTGCTATTAAGAAAAGATTCCATTATTCCAAACACATCTCTCGTTTGTTCGCTATTTCTGAGTGACATACAGTACAAGTTTGTTTATTTCTTACCCTGAGAGCGTCTTTTAAGAGCTGAGGATAATATACCGTGTACTGGTGATCAATAAAGAGTAGATATTTTACCGTGATGTTGTTATAAATCCAACCTAATTCACCCTGACCTAACCTTAGTAAACATGGATAAGGCAGATTAGATTTAATTTGGTTGGTTCGATTTATTTTAACAGATTTTCTCGGTAAATTGTGTGTGTGTGTGTGTGTGTGTGTGTGTGTGTGTGTGTAGTGATAGCCGACATGCCAGGTCGAGTTTACACGAGCAATGGTTTAAGGGGCTTCCTTTATAACACTCCACAGCTGGTTTACAGTCATGCAAGTGAACGGTATAAGGACAGTGGACGCTGGTGTACCTAGACACTCCCTGTACCTGCTAGGAGTCATCAGCGTTGGTGCTCCTCGAGGAAAAACTTTAACAAAAATCATTTCCTGGTGTCCTGTGATTCGCGACGACGCATCAGAGTGAGTGAATATTTCAGTGAGTCAGGTCTTCCTCGAGCTCACCTAGCGACGACCTGGAGACGATTCTGGGACTTCTCTTGCAAAGTTCACTTTTAGTCTTGATTTAATCCTCAGTGGAGAAGATGAGAGGCGGTGAGAAGTGAGAAAGACAGAGTTAGATTGGTCAGACAGACTTGGTCGCCAACATGGGTCGCTTCGGTGTGGGTCACGGGGCGTTTGCCATCCGAGATCGTCGACGGCGGGCCCGTCGTGCGTCCCTCAATGATGGCAGCAGCCAGCACCACCACCAGCGGTATCCCGAGAACTACATGCACTTCTACAACCTACACCAGCAGCGTAAGAATTCCGTCACCTCCAGCCAGAGCGCTCCGGTGAAGGGCACCGCCGGTGGTGATGCCAGCACCCAGCCCGACCTGGCCATCATACCTGGCCAGATGCCTCCCAGTTACGACCAGCAGGAGACCAAAAGTCTGCCAGGGGGGACTGAGATCCTCCAGCCTGGACCCTCCTGGTGGCCTGGCCCCCCGCTACAGCAAGGTGGGATTGTCCTGACTCCCCAGCATGGCAGCGCCGTCGCCCCTCCCCTGAAAGATCGTTTCGTCCTTCCTGCCCTGGGAGGAGACGAGAGCTCCTCACAGCAGAACACCGAGAAGGGTCTCTTGTCGGGTGTGGTGGGGCTGTTCACGGGGCAGGACACCTGGACACACATCCAGGACCGTCTCTTGCCTCACCTGCAAAGAGCCACCAGACCACCACCAGGCTCATCTGACGGTGAAGCAGCCACCAAAGTCAACCATCGCGTGTCATTTGTAGAGGAGGTAGGAAGAGGCGGTTGTCCTCAGGTCCCTCAAGGTTCCCCACGCACCAGCAGCAGCGGCAGGTGTCAGGCTCCACGCACTCTACCACACACCGGCTTGTCTGACACCTCCGCCCACACCCTCCTCCCATCCCCAAACCTTCCCACACCGAGTACAGTATCACCTGTTCCAGACCCTCCCCTGTAGCTCACGCACTCATGTTTATTTAAAAAAAAATGATGTGTCAGGTCTCAGTGGACACGCACAGGCTTCCTCCGTGTACAGTCACATGACCGACGACCGACCATCTCTGGCCCTGCCCAGAGGACTTGTCTTGTATCTACCAGACGGTGTAATCACATTATATGTTACCATGTTCGTTGTACTTAACCGCTTACTAGCCTCTACTGTGTAAAGATTTCCTCTCATCTAAGTCTCTTCTCTTACACAACTCTGTCATTTATATTGCGGAGTAGTAATAATGTTCAGTAACTTCCTACGACCATACCAGCAACAAAGTTCCCCAGAATGACCATAATAATGCACCGCTGACCAACATCCGGCGGCCATGTTTAAGGCTACTCATATTGTAAACAAATAAGGATACGTAGCTAGTGAGCAGTTTTTTCGTGGTATTAGGAGTGGTAGCTTCACCATAGAGAGTACTGTATGTGATGGAGGGTATGGGAGGTGATATGCGCGAGTAGTAGAATGATTTACTGACACCAACATCGTCTCCTGTCAAACATTAGCCACCGAGTTAGATTTTTTTTTTTAATTTGATAAGAATTTAGAAATTAAATGGATTAATGATTTGCAGTATTTAGTATTAATAAATTCCCGAAGATCTGGTCGAAGATTAATGAAGCAACAATTGTCATTAACGAGAAATTCTCAGGATTAACTTACTGGTGTTGCCTCCCCGTCTGCTACCAAGACCTTAACTTTTACACCTAAACCCCCAACACACAAGACCCACCATTGACATCAAACAGAACCACCATAATAACACAATGAAACACTATTTATCCTTTCATTTTCTTACACGTATCTCTCTTAAATACTAAACAAAAGCCAAGGAAACAAAATTATTTATAACGTACTTAATAACACAAAAAATAAACAAACGTCTTACTAAACAAGGTCTTATCATAGGACGCGCTCGTTAACATCAGTAGTCATTATCTCGTAAAATACAGGTCAGAGAGCTTATAATTGTAGTTAATATTAAGTACTAAGACAAACTTGTTTCTTAAATTACTACGTCATTTTTCTCACTCGACCTACGACTCGGAAAAAAGTAATGTTTGTGTTTTGTCATAAAAAATGTGAAGGCAGTGATCTTGATGGACAGTTCACATATTTCTTCATATTAATTGTAAACATATTCTCCTGCAGTTTATAGTATTAGACTTTTACTACTAATACAGTACAATAACAAAAAAATATAAATAATCTACAATTCTGAACCTTTTAAAAGATGTTATTTTTCCTGTGACACAATGAAACAGTGAGATGTATCCTTAAGAGAACGTAAGAAAATAACAAGTAATCAAGCGAGGAAGATCACTTAGCAGTAGACATGTGTGGGACAGACCTCAGTGACGATGCCGCCACGACTAGGCTGCTTCATTTCTCTCCGACTCGGCTCAAAGTGGCTTACCACACTTAAGAGACAAACACAGAACACTTAGAACCTTGTGGAGTGCGTACATACGAGGGCCGGAGAGTCCCCTTGGATTTGCCACGCAAGAGACGGTGAAAAAGGAGTATTTTGTGGCACCTTGGGGGACGTGATGCAAGGCTGGCATCTGAGCCTCTCCAGGTCACCTCGCTGCTGCTATGGCCGCTGTGGCCGTCGCTCTTCGTAACAAAAACAAACGGCAACAGAAGATACAATTTGATCCCAGCGAGGCAAGTAAACCACCCTGTAGTAGATGATGGCTAGTAGTGGTTAACCATCTTGTAGTACAAACAGTTCGTGCTAGTAATAGTAGTAGTAATGACCTAGTACGTCGTAGTGATAGTATTAACTAGCACGTCTTGATAAAGCCTGTTGTGGATAGTTAGTAGTGACTGCCCATCTTGTAGTATAAGTAGTTCGTAGTGGTAGTAGTGGCAGTAGTAGTAGTGATAACTGCTTGAAGTCTTTGGTGACGTAGTATAACGGGTCAGTAACAGCAGATAGTAGCCACAAGGACGCGACACACGTGGCCAGTAGTGACTCAAGGCGGTAGTAGTGCAGTAGTAGTTGCTTGTAGCGCTGGTATTAAAACTGCTTTTGTTTTAGTCTTTTATATAAATCAACAATTATTACAAAAAAAATTGATAACGGTTGCCCATTTCTCACAGCAAATTGCCCATTCCACTCATAGTACCCAAATTGGTTATCTATATTGTGGATATTTTTTAACCCATCCAGTTAATGGTAATATTGACCCCATTATTACCATTAACTATTAGATGGCTTTATTTCCTTCAGAGTTCCCTGTCTATGATACAATAATGGTCTTGAGACATAAGACATAATTGTATTAATAGAGCATTTGTGTCTTGTCCGAGTCTTGCTGTACAATAGTTGGCTATTTATGTGTAATACTGTAATACTGTACTGTACTCACTTTGTATACCACCAATGTATAATTTATGTAACTCACATGTAACCTAATTTTATGTATCCAAACTTCAACATTTATATATATGTATGTGTATATGTCTGCCTTGCATTGATAAACTGTGTCGTATTTCAAGTTTATGTCCTAATGATAAATAACCCTCGTTGTTTTGTGAGGACTGCCCAGCACGACAAGCACTCAATGTACTTCTATAAGCATGTTGGTCTCCACTATGTAGTCTCCACCAGGTACTGTACAGAGAACCTACATAAGTGTACCCTGGATAAAGGTAAGCTCACACACACACACACACACACACACACACACACACACACACACACACAGAAAACGTAAACATATGAACTGGTACATTTTTTTCAGTATTATATCGTTAATGTAGAGTGTAGACCAAGATTCCCCCAGACACTTAGGTAATAATTATCTACTTTTGGCTCATAATAATTAGGTTTCCATCTGATTAAAGTTTGTATTATAGATCTTAATTAAATCACCATCCTTTAATTAGATAATTATAGATAATGCCTAAAGTGTCCAGGGAATTTTGTCCATAACTGACACCTATAATTGTACTAATAATAATCATATGTATATAATTAGAGTTGGTATAATCTAACAGGGGGTTAAGATCAATCCACAATTATTTCAAACTTATCATCATTTAAGATAACAGTATCAACACGTGGAAAAATAGCCCAGTGTTATCTTATGTCTAATATTTATATATAATTATCGTCTTAGTGATAACAATAATAATTTGGTGTGTGTCACGATGTTCAATACACACACACACACACACACACACACACACACACACACACACACACTTATAACTCAGTGGGGAGAAGTGTGTGTGTGTGTGTGTGTGTGTGTGTGTGTGTGTGTGTGTGTGTGTGTGTGTGTGTGTGTTACTGCCCTCACAGGAATGGCACAAAAAGCATTCCATCCATCCATTTAGATTGCAGGAGTTCGATACCTACACCTGAGCCACGAGGAGGAGTAAGATTTGGCACTGCATTTTTCAACAATATTGACAAGAGTTTGTGGAGTGGCGGACGATATGTTGAATAAGTCCACAGGAAGTTGTGTGTGTGTGTGTTTGCGAATAATCCCGTTATATCCCCATTTCCTCGCATATTTTCCCCATTTCCTCGCATATATTCCCCATTTCCTTACATATATCCCCATTTCCTTACATATATCCCCATTTCATCACACATATCTCCATTTCCTCGCATATATCCCCACTTCCTCACATATATCCCCATTTCCTCGCATATATTCTCCATTTCCTCGCATATATCCCCATTTCCTCACATATATCCCCATTTCCTCGCATATATCCCCATTTCCTCACATATATCCCCATGTCCTCGCATATATCCCCATTTCCTCGCATATATTCCCCATTTCCTCACATATATCCCCATTTCCTCGCATATATCCCCATTTCCTCACATATATCCCCATTTCCTCGCATATATCCCCATTTCCTCGGATATATCCCCACTTCCTCGCACATATCCCCATTTCCTCACATATATCCCCATTTCCTCGCATATATCCCCATTTCCTCGTATACCTCGTCATATATTCGCGAGTGCTTGAGAGTGCGGGGGATGTGTGTGTGTGCGTGTCAACACCACAACAAATCAGATACGACCTTGTCTTATTCCTCGTCGCGTGACCTTCCCCGTCTCTCTCTCTCGTGTCTTGGAGGGAAATTCACACGGCATGTACTGGGTCTCTCTCTCTCTCTCTCTCTCTCTCTCTCTCTCTCTCTCTCTCTCTCTCTCTCTGTTGTTTTTAATCCTGATTTCTCCTTCAATCTATTTATTTGATACTCTCTCTCTCTCTCTTTCCTTCTTTCTTTCTCAATTATCAATCTTCTCCACTCTCTCTCTCTCTCTCTCTCTCTCTCTCTCCTGGCGTAATTTCATCAAGCGCGTCATATGAGAGTTGGATCAAGCTACGCCAGGCACTAATTACCGCTTGTACTGGCGCTGTGTTCAAAGTCCACATCCATTAGATACGTTCTGACATGAATCCGGATGTAAATGGATTCGCTCGTGGATTCACTTCGTCCGTGTTATTTCACCTGATGACTAAATATCCAAACACTATCTTGGGGGGGGGGGGCTTGGCTAGGTTAGGTTAGGTTAGGTTAGGTTAGGTTAGGTTAGGTTAGGTTAGGTTAGGTTAGGTTAGGTTAAGTTAGGTTAGGTTAAATAAGCTACCTGGCATTTATAATGTTATGTGTTGTGGTCTCTAGTTTCCTGTCTAACTATTTATTTACAACAGAACTAAAACATTGTTCTTTTAACTTCAAACATCTGTTATGTTTTCATTTTTAAAGGAATTTTCAGCAGAATTTACATAGAATTTACA